GTGAACAATTTTTTACATTTATTTAACTGATAAAACAAACATCCTACTAAAAGAGATCATTAAATTAGAAACTTTGAATATTTTTTGCTAAACTATAATATGATACTATGAGCCCAAAACTTTAAAAAAATTCTTTTGTTATAAGAAAGACTTTTAACATCTCTTTCTTATAACAACTAGATGTTAAAAACTATTATTTATTGCTGATTCATCATGTGCAATATACGATCAAAATTATTAAATTTTATCCTTTTTCAATAATTAATGTAAGACTATAAATTTATAATTATTAACATTATTTTCAAAACCGATAGTTGACAGCATAATTTTACTCAATCAGAATGTGGAACGATAAGCTCAACATTTATTATCTTATTACTGAAAACAGATCATATTGTGTTTTTAAATACTTAAAATTTATATCGTAATCGAATGTTTTGTTTGTTTTGAAAATAAGCATAAAGCTACACAATGGCTATCTGTGCTCTGCCCACCACGGGTATCGAAACCAGGTTTTTAGCGTTGTAAGTCCGCAGACATACCGCTGTGCCACTGGGGGCGATCGAAAGTTATCGACTTAGAATTTACGCGCGAAGTTACACATGGGATATCTGTGAAAACTATCACCGATTTTGTAGTGATAATTAGCTTGTCAACAGCATTCATCACCCATTCTTAGGCTACTATTTGTTGATCGAATAGTGGGATTTGACCGTCACTCTTATAACATACCCATGGTCCTAAAGCACGAAGTGCAATTTTGAGGCAACGGGACGCGTATCATAGACCATCAGATTCATAACCCGACACGCTAACCACTAAGCTACTCCTGGTTGCTTTGCAACTGAATTTTGTAAAATATTAGAATTACAGTTGAAAATATCATTAATAGCGAGAGTACCCAAATGATAAATAAATCACTGCATTCTAATTATTCTAAGTAAAAGGCCTGGCTGGACCTGGTGATTAGAGCGCTCGACTGCCTCTACATGGGTCGCGGGATCGAAACACTGTGCTGAGCATGTTCGACCTTTCAGCCGTAGGGGTGCTATAATGTGTCTGTCAGTTTCACTATCCATTGGATTATTTTTTATTTTAGCGCAAAGCTATGCAATAGACAATATGCGTTCTGTTCACTGCAGGAGATCGAACTCAAGATTTTAGCGTTGTAACTATTCATTAGTAAAGAGTAGCCTAAGAGTTGGTGGGTGCTGAGGCACATTTGCATTCCTTGTCGTTGGCAGCTCAAACCTAGGGACGGCGCCAGATAGCCTTAGTCAGTTTGGCATAACAAACAAATTGTTAAAAGTAAGAACTAAGAATTGCATATTAAATCAGCTAGATTCATTGCTGGCTTGACTTTTAGTTCTGATGTATGAAAGTCACTTGTTTTGACCAGATATTACAGACGTCAAACCCAATTATCGAAGCTGTCGGAAAAAAAACATATCAAAACTCACAAGACGACTGCATAACATTAATAATAAACATCGCTAAACAATACTTCACATTTCTAATCCCAAACATAATACAACAGTTCATGAGCTGTACAACACATAAAGCACAAGACACAACAATACAAGAAAGAAAATAAATCATCACAATAATCACAACAGGAATTAAATAAAATGCATAGACATGGCCCTGAGAAGAAGACAAATAATAAATAAGCAAGCAACAACAAAAATACAATAGTCAAAATATAAAATCAATGAGAAAAAAACGTATTACAATAGTACAAGAATGAGGAAGAGGTCAACTAGACTCTCAGGTCTTCAAGACCTAAATCCCGATATCTGCCAGATGAAGTGTGGAATGTGTTCAGTGGCTCACGTCTCGATCTCTGTATCTTTCAATACACAGCTCAACATGCTATCCATTACACTACACAGTTTGGGGCTTTTTATTATTATTTTATCGGAAATAATATTGTTACGACAGCGGAAGTCACGTGACACTGGTAACACGTAATGAGTTCTAGAAAGATCGGGGAACATCACGAATAATCCAGTATTTGCTAGGCGCCCTCTATTCTTGTATATAAGTGCGCCAGATAAAGCGAAATTATTAATCGGAATTATAATTGCAGACAGGCAGAGACAGAGACGGACAATTGAGTCAAGCGCGGTAGTAAAGTGCGTGAATCGTGGTGAATTATAGCGTGTGTTTAAGTTAAATGTGATTGTGGAAATTAAGTGTATTGCAAAGTTGAATTGAGAAAGAATAAACTTGTGTTATTTAAGAAAGGACTTGTATCGCTGAAGTTTCTTGGAAATAATTTCTACGGAAAATTAACAAACGACCAGAGACGTAACAATATCTAGCAACTTTTTTAATTATCTAGTTATCTGAATTAGCTGAGGTCGTTAAATTAGTATAAAATACTTAACATGTTTTTCATCAGTCTTTCTTGTTAGGTTTGTTATGACCATTTTCCGGAATCAAAGTTTTCGTTTATAGAGTATTAATACGATTATTTATATGAGCGACCACCCACTCGATAACGAAAAAATATTTATAAGTCACATTTGCTAGGTTTTAAGACAAATTTTAAAGAATAATAACCTCCGCCATTAGAACATACTCTCAAACAAACTCAACTTTCACACTTGGCAACTAAATCGGCTGAAGAGTTCTGAGTATCAAATTTGAGTGCTAAAAAGCAAAATAACACACAATAACAACAATAAAACCTAATGATTGGTTTGTTTTGTTTTGAATTTCACGCAAAGCTACTTGATGGCTATTTGCGCTAGCCGTCCCTAATTTAGCAGTGATAGACCAGAGGGAAGGAAGCTAGTTAACATCACCCACTACCAACTCTTGGGCTGCCATTTCATCAACGAATAGTGGGATTGACTTTCACGTTATATAGCCTCCACGGCTGAAAAGGCGAGCATGTTCGATGACGGGGATTTTGAACCGAGCGTCCTAACCATCAGGCCAAGCAAATGATCATTTGAACACTTATTACACACTTAAATGTAAAATGTTACGTCACTATATTTTTTACTGAACTGGTATAATCATTACACGTTCCATGTCGTATTTGTATCAAACATCTCTTCTAATAAATGTAATATTGAATTAAGATTATGGGATTAAACACTTGTAACATGGTAAATTCATATATAAATTATTAAATTATGTGTTTTGCTGCGTCTCTAGTTTTCATAGTTGGCTACTTAAGCATTCTAACAATGGTACTAACAGAAACAAAAATGCATATATTTTAAAAAGTAAATGTATTGTTGCGTCAGCGAGGTCACGTGACTAGTGTCACGCCACCCGCTTTCTAGAACTATCCCGTTCCTTCGGGATTGCTCTAGCATTTACTAGCTTGGGGGTGGTGGTCTGGTATATATAAGATGGTCACGGCGTGACGTGACATTGTGTGTGTTGACAGTGAGTAACTGATCTGCAGTCAAAGAGTATTATTGAAGTTGAGCACGTTCGTTGTTATAGCGTTTGTTTT